TTTCATTGTTATCTCAATCATATGAATAAAAATAAGTTTTCAATTCAAACAATATGCCGCGACTCGATGAAGAAACGACGACCAGAGAAGACTCCCACATGTCGGAAAAATTGATAGAAAAAGAATTCGTATATGAAGTGGTCACTACTTTCGGAATCACCCTGTATACTTCAGGTATCTGCAGAAAGAATAGTCAGCAGAAATGATCAAGTTCCTCACCAAGTCTTACGAAATTCCAATCATTTGATGGATATGAATAGCAGGACTGGTGCTGTTTCATGGAAACTAAAATATCTTGCATATGAAATGTAAATCTGATTCAAGGGATGTCCAAATATTAATCATTTTTCACTGCTCACTTTTTCGGAAATAATTGGAAGTTGCTATTTTTGGACCGAGTTTTGGACCAACTCACATGAACAAACATAACGAAGTCAATTTGGTTTCCTTATTCGAAAAGGAAACTTCACAATGGCCATTCGAATTTTTGAAAAAGTCAACTTCAGCACCCTATATAATCCAAACCATTGTGTTTAGAGCATCAATAATTGCGGCATCTGATCAGCATCACAAATTCTACATTAAATCGAAAATTAGAGCAAATTCACCTAAAGTAAATTTCCCTCTTGTTGCGGTACGGGGTCCTTTCTATATTATACTCTCGAGTTCCGAGATATTCCCTGTCTTAGTCGTCGTGGTACATACAATGTGGTGACTTTAATTGGAATAAATTCGTTAGCAGGAAGGGGATTATTTTTTTCTCAAAATTCCTGGCATACGTCAGCGATTTCATGTATTAGTCTACTTTTTGTAAGCTATATCGGGAATATATTCCTCCACGGGTAGCTGAGAACACCCTCGCCATGTTTTTGTCGAATGTAACACTATGGCCGCAAGGTCGTGGGTTCGATTCCCAGCACGGGCAAGGAACTTTTTTTCAATATTTTATTTACGAATTAAATATTGTAAAGTTTCGGAGCATCGGCTGGGGATAGTCCTGCACGATTCGCTGTTGCGTTCCAATTAACAGTGCTGCTCCTAAAGTGGCGCATGGAGTTAGTAACAAAGCCTACATAGAACACGCAGAAAGATATGATGATGTGGTTGTGAGCATCAGAGAAGAAGTAGGACGGTGTATGTAGGTGGGTGTGGAAAAACTACCAGCTGAGCGTGAGAGCGGGCCAGCTGCTTAAGTAGACCTCGGTCTCGGGGGTTAACGATGATAGTTAGCAGGCCTGCCACTGCGCATATGGTAGTGAGTACATTACTAGCCTACAAAACACAGCTGAAAAACTCTGAAAAGAGAGCTGATGGGCAATGCCTGAAAAAGATGTTAGCCAGCTCTCTTGAGCGAACCACACCAGTCATTGAAAACACTTGGGGTTTGCAAAAAGGTCCCATTGGGGACTAGTTGCTGACGTGGAAACGTCCCCCACCAGTACCAGTACCAGTACCAGAACACTATGGTTTGTGATTCCTCATTGAAAAGCTGATGGAAAGAGGAATCCAGCGTACAACTAGAATTTGAGTTTTTCATACGTTTGAAGATTGCATAAAATCCCGCATAAAATCGAAATTAATTTTAAAATTCAATTGTTTTTCAACGTAACAATCGCTCAAAATGTGTGTTGAATCATTGATTGCAATTTTTTGCCACAACTGCTATCTGCTATTTTAATCCAGTTTTTATAGAGCCGCGAAAAAAACTTGTTTTTTTGCCGTATTCGCAGTTCGAAGTGTTATTGCAAACTGGTGAAGATGTCTTATATCACTGTCCCTAAAAGTCGAACGTTTGATGAAAATACGTTGAAAATAATATATCAAACTCTAGAAACTGAAATATGATCAGGGGATGCTGGATTCCTCTTTCAACCATAGCTTTCCAATGAGGGGTCGGAAGCCATAGGGTTGCATTTGGAAAAAAACATGTCGGAGTTGATTCCAGGTACCCCTGAAGAGTAATATTCTCCATATTTTCGCCAAATGTTGGTGAATACATTCAAACGTTGACGTGTCTCACGAATTTTTTGAACAATCATTCACTCCCCCAGAAGCACATTTATTCCAGTTAAAGTCTCCACCCTGTACAGGAGTACCCACCATATGTAGTAAAATATTCATGAAACGGTTTTTCAATAAGTATTCATACTAGGCACCAATGAGTCTCCTTGGAGTCGAACTATTGACAAAAATCATTCGATAATTATAGGAATAACAGCTCGAAAATTTTGATAAAATATCTCGCTCTTTGTGGCATATAGGAAAAGAAAATCTGAAAATGTTCCCAGGCATGAATCTCATATGAGCAATGACTACCTATAAGAAAATGATTATTAAATGTTGTTATGCATCAGTGACATAGAAAATATATGGTTTGCATTTGCATCCCAAAAACTTGGTGCCCTTGCCCTGTTTCAGGCAGAAGCTATTTCACTTCCAGTCAGCTGCTTATGATCTATAAGGCACAGATCCGACCTGTCCTGGAATACTGTTTCCATATTTGGAGTGCAGCACCCAAACATACCCTGAAACTGTTGGATTCTGTCCAAAAAAAGGCAATTCGTCTTGTGGGTGATGCCTCGCTCACAAACTCACTCACTTCTCTAGAACGCCGTAGGCTAGTTGGCGATCTGGCCCTATTTTATAGATATTTTCATGGACGATGATCTTCTGAAATATCAACAATTGTACCTCCCTTGGCAGTCCCCGCGAGATCAACCCGTCTAGTTGAGGCTTCGCACCCCTTCGTGGTCACTTTGGAGACCTGCAGAACATCTCTTTCCAAAGATTCGTTCATCCAACGAACAACGAGGCTGTGGAACACATTGCCAAGTGAGGTGTTCCTCGAGGCATATAACCTCCAGAAATTTAAGAAGAACGCCAATTCCTACTTCATTTCCCTTGATTCTCACGATGTTCTCTGATCATTACAGGATATCCCTTTTCGTGGGAACCATAACATAAAAAAAAACAGATTGGGCTGGAATTTTGTATACAAGTTCAGTTTGGATGGCAATACACGATAATTTGTGTGACGTTATTCTAAATCAAATATGGCTGACCATCCAAGTTGGAGAAATAGTTATGTTCAATGCACTTCAACAATAATGGTATCAAATGAAAGGCTCGTTGAAAGCACGACACATGAAATATGATGTGACGTCATTATCAATCCAATATGGGGTACCAACCGAGATGACGAAATAGTTATTTTCCATGCACTTCTACAATAGAATCGTAGAAAAGTTGGCGATCTGGCTCTATTTTATAGATATTTCCATGGACAATGATCTTCTGAAATATCAACAATTGTTCCTCCCTTGGCAGTCCCCGCGAGATTAACCCGTCGAGTTGAGGCTTCGCACCCCTTCGTGATCACTTTGGAGACCTGCAGAACATCTCTATCCAAAGACTCGTTTATCCAATGAACAGCGAGGCTCTGGAACACATTGCCAAGGGAGGTGTTACCCGAGGCATATAACCTCCAGAAACTCAAGAAGAACACCAATTCCTATACCTCATTTCTCTTGGTTCTCACGATGATCTCTGAACATTACAGGATATTCCTTTTCGTGGGAACCTGAACATTAAAAAAAATATCGATCTTCAAGTTTCTAGTAACAAAAAATATTTATTTATACACCAAGGTAGTGAATTATATCATCATTACCCCAGGGACCAAGATTATATTATCCTTTACTTACAAGGTTCATATCAATTTTTTTTCCACCACTAGCAATATATTTCAATCATTTTAGTTCTGTTCTGTTCTGTATCGTCAACATATATATTTTTTCTCTCGCTGTCTCAATTCAAGCATAGACTATTTAGTGCCTTGAGGAACTAGTTTCACATATCTTAGTTTATATTCTTTTCGAGTTATGTATAGATATAGGTATATATTTTTAGCGATCCAACTAATAACCATGTATTATTACATACACCTGTAAATGGGCGTAAGCCTGCTGGATGTATTAATATTAAATAAATAAATAAATAAACATGAAAGCACTTATTGTCAATGCTTAGCCATGACCATGACAGCATGTGGAAACTTATTATATTATTGATAAATATATACCTACTACATTCCTGTATGTGTATATTAAATTATTGTCACCAATTGCAATATATTTCAATCATTATATAGTTCTGTTAAACTGAAATGTAGACCTATGTCACTATGAAAGCACTTCTTCTCAATTCCAATTGAAATCTAGTCACCACGACAGCATATGACAAATCGTTATTGACAAATACCTATACTAGATTCCTGTGAATATCGCATCAGAACAGTGAATTTGAGTTAATTATCTTTTTTGAATAGAGGTTCATAAAATGATGAAAACTACCTTGGTATGGAAAACACAACTTTACGTCTTGAAAAGAAGTGAATGATGGTAGGTTTTATAGCCAGTGATGGAAAAACAATACCATGACTCCATACCAGTGTCTATAAGAAGTGAAAAAAGGAGAACAAACGCTTGAACTCGGGAAACTCTCGGATTATCTACCCGTTTCTAAATCGAGCAAAGTCTCAATTGTAACTTCTCATCAGGATATAGTAGCAATATTGGACCATAGTTTCTACATAACACCCTGTGAATTTTTTGTGCTGCTTATCTGAAATTATCGTAGTTATGTTTGAAATTTATGAACATCAACCTTTGCCAAAAATCGCAAGTGAATCGTTCGTTTCCTTCAAAAAATACAAGAGGTGTCAAAAACTGTCATATGCTATAGCTAGCAGGCAGAATGAAAGGAAATATACTTTGTGATACTTGTTCTCACTTCAAATTCTTCCAATCAAATCTTCACTAAACTTGAGACCATTCAAACTGTGAGGCCTTTCAATTATGGTTTCAATGCTCTTTTATAAGGAACGATATAACTGGTGGCCTGTGCTTCTCCGAAATCAAGCGTCCAGAATCCGACCTTGAGGTATCCCACCGAACCTCAAGCCGATAACGGGACCAAAGTCCTCTAATCCAGCGACTTACCAGCAAAAGGCTCGTGTGAAATCATCCGAGGCCACTGTGTTTCACACCATACACCGATGATAGCGGCTGTTCAACCACCGAAACGCGTCAATGTCCGAATCTATAGGAAAAATCCGTTTTCCGCATACAACAGAGCCCCGTATGTGGCCAACCTCGCAGCCAGACAACTTTCCACTTCGGTTTCCCTACCGAAAATGGCGGTCTGTCGGGAAATCACTGGCGCGCGCAACCACTTCCCAGGACTACACGAAGTTATTGATCCCCTAATGGCACACTCTGGAATACACGTATTCTCATGCTAATTAGGCGGAATGTCTCAGAAAAAAAAAGCTGGTGTATCAAACTGGGTACTTTGAGTGTGGCATATGTAGTGTTAACCTTCGGCTGATGAATTATTCATGCGACACGTCCCACGCAGACCTTTTCCCGGAATCATTTTATTGGGGAAGAGGAGGACGCATTCGGTTAAAGGACATGTTGCATGGCTGCAGGCATCAGTATTCGGAGGTGATGGATTCCAGTTTCGTCCCACAAGGAGAGAATAAAGATCAACAAATCCATAAAGTCAACCGATATATACACCACATCATATGTATAGGGTCTTTCAATGAAAACTTCGCCCACTCCCCCCCTCTTCCATAATCAGGAAAATCGAATCCTCTCAGTATTAACCAGGACCCGTCAATTTTTATACTTGGGGGAGCATTTTTAACAGTCAAACCAGCTCTATGTGGTCATCCCCCTAACCTCTAGCAACTTCAAAATTCCAAGTGAAACTACCCTACTTCCAACACAGGATCTTAAAGCCCTTTTCATTGCGAATACTCCGGTGCATCGTTTTTGGAAACCACAAACTCACTTTTTCTGGAACACCCCAGGTAGCCACACTGACAAAAATGACGTCTCTAAGACCGCTATTTCAAGTCAGTTTTGGTCCCTTTCGTCATTTGACCGAATCATGACGTCAAAAAGACGTCTTTTTCCTGACGTCATGTGGACAGCAACTTTTAGACGTCTTATGGACGTCAAAATGTGGTCCTCAGAACTCGTGAAATGTACTTCTCTTGTCATTCTCGCTGAACTTCATCTGAATAAATTATTGTTCCATACTGAAATATCAAAAAAGTCTGTCAGCCAATTCAAATGATGATAGAAAATAATCTCTCTCAACGGAAAATGTTGTCGTTATTTCCTTATTTGAATTTGGTGTCTACGAAATGCCACTAATCACAGAATTTCTTGTTTAGGCGGCACAAGAGGCACGAGGCGTCAGCACGGATGTAGCCGAACATGAACCGAACCGAACCAAGCCGTTTGTACCTCGTACAATGTTGCCAACTTAACAATTCTTACGTAGTTTTATTATTCTGAAAATATTCTAGAACGACAATTGTCATTTGCACATTTGATTCGACATGAATAATGAATGACAGGTAATCTGAAAGGATAAAGCAGATTACAGTATAGCTTATTTTGGGGGTGACGCATCATGTCAGCTCTGACGCCAACTCACAATGTCTACCGATTCATATGTAGTGACGATATATCTTTTCGCCTCAATATTATTTTTGGGATGAACATCAGCCACAAAAAAATGGATTGTGGCTATAATTAATTTGATTCCCCTATATGGGATACATCGATAGTTTTATCATATATCATGCAGATGATAGAAAACCTTAAATTTCGATAGCGTCGCCACACGGAACAAACAGAAGAATAATAGGACATAAATGTAATTCAGTTTTCCCCATGGAGTGAAATCCAAGAGTTATCTATATTTTCCAGTTAGGAGCTTGGTTTCTTGCTGGGCGATTAGGCTTTGGCGATTCTAGCGATGGAACTTGGTGATGTTATTATTGTTCAATTCGAATTGGGTAGCCACATCGACCAATAATATCCTTACACGTTTCATAGCCAGAGCCAAAATCGCTTAGCATTAAACAAAGCTTGAGTTGTGCATCGATATAGTGGTTCCTCATTAAATATGGTGTTTAATTTAAAGGGTTTCAATTGAATCATTATCTTTTTTATGATGTATTCGTTAATTCAATTCGACGAAAGTGGAAACAACATCATGACTGTTGTCCATGAATCGTGGTTGACTCCGATGAGAACCGAAGTGGTTTGGCAGCCATTTAATGATCAGGCAAACTGGTCAATTTTTATTCATACATTTATGAAGTATTTTGAATATATCATTTGAAAACTCTAGGTGTTTCTTATAATTGAGTACTATACAAAAAATATACGTCGCTATGATTTTTCTATTTTTCGAAAAATAGACGTCGCTATGACGTCTACTTTTTGACAATTAGACGTCGCTATGACGTCCTAAACTAGTCAACAAAGTCAATTCCAAGTCATAATTGAAGACCGCATTGACTTCCAAAAGACCTAAAAAGTGACGTCATTTAACTGTGACTCACTTACGTCATTTAGACGTCAGATTGGATAGTATTAAAGACGTCGTTTGGCCGAATGTGATGCCGTCTTTTAGACGTCGTATAGTCGCCATGTGCTACCTGGGACCGTCGGCGAGTTGGCGATCTGGCCCTATTTTATAGATATTTTCATAGACGATGATCTTCTGAGATATCAACAATTGTTCCTCCATTGGCAGTCCCCGCGATATTAACCCGTCGAGTTCAGGCTGCGCACCACTTCGTGATCACTTTGGAGACCTGCAGAAATCTCTTTCCAAAGACTCGTTTATCCAACGAACAGCGAGGCTCTGGAACACATTGCCAAGGAAGGTGTTCCCCGAGGCATATATCCTCCAGAAATTCAAGAAGAATACCAATTCCTACCTCCTTTCCCTTGGTTCTTACAATGATCTCTGAACATTACAGGATATCCCTTTTCGTGGGAACCAGAACATTAAAAAAATATATCGATCTTCAAGTTTATAGTAACGAAAAATAGTCATTTATACACCAAGGTAGTAAATAATATCATTATTTCCTAGGGAACAAGATTATATCCCGTGGCTTCAGCCGAGGGGTATGAGGTCCCGTGGTAATATTATCATTTACTTACAATGTTCATATCAATTTTTTTCATTACTAACAATATATTTCGATCATTTCAGTTCTGTTAAACCAAAATATGGACTTATCGTCAACATGAAAGCACTTATTTTCAATGATTAGCCATGACCATGACAGCATGTGAAAACTTATTATATTATTGATAAATATATACCAACTACATTCCTGTATGTGTATATAAAATTATTGTTACCAATTGCAATATATTTCAATCATTATAGTTCTGTTAAACTGAAATGTAGACCTAGACTATGGAAGCACATGTTGCATGGCTGTAGGCTTCAGTATTCGGATTCTAGTTTCGTCCCACAAGGAGAGAATAACGATCAACAAATCTATTAAGTCAACCGATTTATACACCACATTATATGTATTGGCGGTAATTTCAATGAAAACTTCGCCCACTCTCAACCCTCTCCCATAATAAGGAAATTCGAATCCTCTACTAGTACTAACCAGGACCCGTCAATTTTCATACCTGGGGGGAGCATTTTTGACAGTAGAACCAACTCGATGTGGTCATCCCCCTAACCCCTAGCAACTTAAAAATTCTAAGTGAAACTACCCTACTTCCAACACTTGATCATAAAGCCTTCTCCATTGCGAATACTCCGTTGCATCGTTTTTGGAAATCGGTTGAAATTTCAAAGACTCTGAAGCCCTCTTCATTGCGAATACTCTGTTGCATCGTTTTTGGAAATTGGTTGAAATTTCAAAGACTCTGAAGCCCTCTTCATTGCGAATACTCTGTTGCATCGTTTTTGGAAATCGATTGAAATTTCAAAGAGTTATTCAATAAAATCAATCAAAATCAAAAATCAAAATGTACTTTATTGCCTGAAGAATAAATTCTTATTGACAAAGCATTGATGGTCCTTACAAAGCATAGTCTTATATAGAAAATAAAAACAAATATTCAAATATAAAGTGTAGACATGTAAAAAAGTATGTAAATGTATAAAATTGTATAAAAATTTATGAAGGTTGAAATGTATAAAAGTAGAAATATATATGAACATTCACAAATTTGTTTGTAAAGACAGTAATACATACAATGATAGAATTCGGTAAGATTATAACATGCTTTTTCCAGTAGAAACTTTTCAACCGATTTCCTAAACTTTTGTTCAGTTTCTATTCACTTTATGTGCAAGGGCAGATGATTGAACAACTTCTTGCCTTCATAAATTATAGAATTCTTGTTAAGAGTTGAGGTGGAAATAGGCAGTTTAATGTTATGGGAAGAGCTGCGGGTATGTCGACTCATTTCTGAATTCTTCAAACTTTTTTCAACTAGGCAAACGGTTTCCAAAATGAAAATGCAGGTCAGTGGCAGTATTCCATGAGCCAACAATAAAGGTCTACATGAATCCCTCGAATCGGCGTTGCACACATATTTTAGTGCTCTTTTTTAGAGAATTAAAACTCTAACGAATAAATAGTTTGCGCACAAGCCCCAAAAGCAAATACCATAGCGTAGGTGCGATTCAATGAGTGAGTAGTAAGCGTTCTTTGCCGCAGTTAGACCTAATTCATTGGATGTAACTCGTACGGCATAACAGCCAGACGCTAGCTTTTTGTCTAAGTTCAAAATGTGCCCTTCTAATTTCAGTTTGGCGTCAATATTCAATCCCAAGAATGTATGTGTAGCTTTGATGCTAAGACATTCATTATCGAGAAATACATTGTTGATAACGCTCTTGAAGTTGATTATACCTATCTTAAAGGTGTTGAAAGACAATAAGTTGGCGTCGCACCATTTTTTAACTTTGTTCAGGTCCTCATTGATGATGTCTTCTAAAATTACGTTATCATTACCATGCCAGAGGATGGTCGTATAAACTGCAAATATTGTGAATTGTCCATGTATGTGGACAAGTGTTAGGTCATTCACATACAGGGTGTCCGGAAATTATGCGCAAACAATCAAGGGGATGATTCTACATAATGAAATAAGAAATTCATTTCATATGAACCTAGGTCCGGAAATGCATAGTTTTCAACATACAGTGTGTTGAAACTTTTAAAAAAGATCGGTTTTTTATGAATATCTCAAATGTCTTTCCACCGATTCTCTTGAAATATGGCAATGCTATTTTTTGTCATGAGGGGCTGATATACCCCTAATTCAATTGGAATCTTGGA